ATTTCCGAGCACCCCGAGGATGCTGCTCCGTGTTGAGGTTACATCCCGGGCGCTGCTCCCGAGAGCCTGAAATCCGGGCTCCCTTTGACGTGGTTTTCTTGCTCCCTCCCCTGTTTGCAGAAAGTGGTGGAGGAGGAGAAGCAGGAGCATGTGGACAAGGTGAAGGAGCTCCTGGGCTGGGCCCTGGGCTTGAAGCAGAGCGTGCAAGGCAGGACGGCCGCTGCGGGGAGCAGAGAGCTGGGCGACATTGAGAAATCCATCTCGGAGCAGCAGGTAGACTGGGGGCGACTGTCAGGCGGTTTGTTTCCACTTCTGCTCTTTTTTCCACAGCTGAATTAAGCTGCTTGCTTGCTTTTTTTTCTTTTTTTTTTTTTTTTTTTTTTCAACAGGCTCTGAATGAGGAGCTGGCTGCAAAGAAGGAGCAGGTCTCTGAGGCCATCAAAACTTCACAAATCTTCCTGGCAAAACACAGCCACAGGCGAGTGTGGCCCGAGGAGGGGACGGGCAGGGAGAGCGGTGGGGCGAGAGGAGATATCTTAAAGCTGGCGCTGGGGCATCCCTGGGGTCCAGTGCCTGGCTCCTGTTGAAAACAGTGACTGGCTGCATGTCAAAATTGTCTTTTTTCTCCTCTGCAACAAGAACTGGGAAATATGAAGCCCATTTGTCCCGTTAGGACAATATTAATCCCCCTTAGTAGTGATCCAGCCCCCGTATATTTGGGGATTTGGTTGTTACGATGCAGGTCAGCCTTTGCTCGGCGCGGTCACTCCGGCTGGTTTTAGCTGAGCCGGGCGAGGAGCAGGGCAGGGGGAAGAGGGGACTCCTGGTGGGTTTGACCTTTTCCTTCCCCAGAGGAACACGGGAATTCTGCAGAGCTGGGAGCTGGTTTGTGCAGTCTCCCTGAGGGATTTCCCCTTCCCCTTGCAGGCTTTCCCACCCGGAGAAGGACCAGATTTCCGCTCAGATCGGTGCTCTGAAGGAGACCTACCAGGCGCTCTGCACCGACTCCACGGAGCAGCTCCAGCAGCTCCAGAGCCAGCTGGCACAGGAGACAGAGCACAAGGTACCGCTCTTGCCCGGCCCCGTGGCCGCACGGACACTGGGTGCTCCTCAGGGGGTGAAAAAGGTTTTGCTTGGTTGCAGATCTCATGGCTACCCCAGCCGCTCACAGCTCATCGACTTTCTTACTTGCATGTGGTTGCCCTCCCTTCTCTTCCGTCCATCCATCACCCAAACCATCGGGGCTGGTCCCTGGGGGCTGAGCAGGAGCCGTTCACCTGCCACCTCCCAGCTCAGCCAGAGAGTTGTCCTTTGAAATTGTCCTGAGAGAGTTGTCCTTTGCGATGGTTTCACCAGAGCTCTGCCCTGGGCGCAAGGGTTGGCTCTTCAGGTGCTGGGAAGGATGCAGGTGGCCCCGTGTCCTGGGACCGGTCCCCTTGGCACATCGGGGTCCCCTGTGCCATACCAGGAGGTGGGTTTCTACCCAAGGACGTTCTCCCCTGTGGTCTCACGTGTCTCAGGGTCTGCCGAGAGGTGTTGTCTCAGCTGGGGCTGGATGAGTTGCTCTTCCCTCCTGGAAGGCGACGGCATTGTCCGAGCCCTCAGCTGACCTGGGAGACCTTCCTGGCCCCGCAGCCGGACCCATTCCCCGTTCACACCCACCAGTGCTCCCACCAGTCCCCATCCTGGTTCCGCCGGGTAGGGAGGGCTGAAAGCGCATCCCTGGTGCCTCTGTCGGCGGCGCGAGCTGTCTGCGGTCACTCCCAGATATCCGTGTACGTGTGTATACATGTGTCGATGGATTTATTTGTGTGTTTGCTTGCTGGCTCCCTGTACTCTGAAGCAACAGCCCACTGGGATTTGGAGGCGTGATGCAGGTTTGGGCTGTCGGGTCCGTGAGTGAAGCCCTGTTCGAGCCACTCGTGGGCACAGGGCGATGCGGCTGCTTGGTGCAAATCCTCCTGTCCAGCTTTCACCTAAACATAGAGCCTTTCTCTCCAAGCTGGACTTTAGAGCACATTTTAGGGCTCTCCGTGCAGTAACCACTTTCTATTGCAAGCCCCTTAGCCCTTGTGCTGGCAGCAGAAAGCTTGCGGTGAGCTAACGGGATCATTAATCGCCGCTAAACGGCGTCAAATGCTTCTGCCAGGATTGCAGCCGAGAGCAGCCTGCCCGCGGAAAGGATGCTCCGTCCTTTCCCTTTTCCTCCCTCCCAGGCAGGAAAATGACTTTAGAGCCAAAGCCGTCCCCAGGGCTGTTTTTCGTGGCTCGGGCTGGAACATTCACTCACGCTCTCGCTGAAGCCCAGCAAACAAAACGAGAGGTGGCAGTGGGGCTCCGGAGATCCCGGTCCGGGAGACGAACCCCGCGTGCGGTGCGGTTGCTTCACTGTAGAGGGAGCATGAGGAACTCTTAACATTTGCTTGCTGGAAACATCCAACTGTCAGAGAGAAGTTCGAAAAGACAAAAAAAAAAAAACAAAACACCAAAAAAACCGCAAAGCAGAACGCACTAAATTGAGCATGATGTGTCCCTGTACAGTTTGTGTTTCACGTCAACTGTTTTTTAAGATTAACTGACATCCTTGCTTACAAGTTTTTAACTAACCCTCCGGGATTTAAACAAACAAAAACCACACAAAGTGCAAGAGGACGACCTGTGTGTGGGGGGGTTCTTTTTGCAAACAAAAAACGGTCGCATGCTGGACGCTAACACCAAGCTTTACACTGTGTGTGATCCGGCTGAACTGCTCCGTAAGGCTCTGTCTTTAACCGCTCCAGGCACACCCTGCGACTCGGGTAAGTAAAAGCCTTTTACCCATCTTCTCTCCCATCTCCTTTTTTATCTTTCTCTTTTTTTTCCCCCTCCTCTTCTCTGTCTTCCCACGGCTTGTTCATCTCCGAACGTGCATGTCAGAGGCTGGCGATGGTGGCGGAGGGTTTAGCCGGCGGGTTCGCCCCGGCTC